AGCCTTAATGTCCAGGGGCCCTCATGACACTGGCATCCCCTCTCCTATGAGCTCCTGCCCTTGGCGCCCTGGTTCCTGTCTCAGCCCAGGCTCCAGCAGTTCTCAGCACACGCTGAGGGGGTCCTGTGACTGTTCTGGGGGTGGTGAGGACCCTCAGCAGTTCCATGCTCCAGGAGGCAGGCAGGGGCAGCTTCCTGCAGGGAGGCTTTCCTGCACTCGTGTCTCCTGACCGCTGGCAGGAGGGTTTGAGGACAGCGGACAGGACTGCGGGCCAAGGGTCCTGGCAGCCTCCAGAAGCCAGAAGAGGAAAGAATGTAGGTTTTCCCTACGGCCTCTAGAAAGAGCACAGCCTGATGACACTTTGATACCAGGCCACCGGCATTGATTTTTGGACTTTGACCTCCAGAATTATAAGGTGATAGATTTGCATTGTTCTTAACCTCTGAGTTTGTGGGAGTTTATTGCAGCAGCCATAAGAAACTAAGACACCCCACATCCATGCTTGATGTTTATATTGGCTTTTCCATACTCAGCACCCACAGCATAATGGAAAATAGGTTTACTTTAGCTCTTGGTTTCCAAGGGCTCAGTCCACGGTTGGCTGGATCCACGGGAGGAGCCTGGGGGAGCAGAGACAGAGAGCAAAGCAGCTGGGGACAAGATGCACCTTTTAGATCATGACCAGGCTCCATCTCCAAACGTAAGACTTGGGGGACATTGTAGATCTAAACATAGCGTTCAACCACGGCCTCCAAAAGGCTCGTGCCCATCTCATTATGCAACATGCAGTTAGTCTATCTTGAAGAATCACCGGAGTCTCTTAACAGTTTAAGCACTGCTGAAAAATTCAAGCCCAAAGCCTCCTTTGAGACTCAGGACAACTCTTAGCTGTGAGCCCTTGTAAAAATCCGAAACAAAGTTAAACACTTCAATATATAATCACAGAGTAAACATTCCCGATCCAAAAGGGAAAAAGAGGAAGACAGGAAGGAATCAGACCAAAGCAAGACAAAAACCCTGGAGGGACAAAATTAAATCCTGCAGTTTCATGTCCAGCACCCAGGGAAGATTGCAATGAAAGTGAGCTCCAGAGGGTGTAGACAGCCCTGTCTCTGTGGCCTTGCCACGCACACCACGTGGCCCCTCTCCTGGGTTGGCTCTGCTCACTACCTGTGGCTTCTCTCAGCAGATGATCCATATTCTCAGCATCTTTAACTCTCTGTGTCTCCAGTGCACCTTTGGTTCGCTCTCAGCTCACACATTGCTCTCTCGGGGGCTCACTGCCTCGTCTCCCGTCTTCCTTTGAAATCTGGGTGGAAGCCACACTGATCCCACAACTTCTGCATTGCCAGCTCCACATAAGTGACACTAAAATCTGTAGCCAGGCCCCCACGGACCATGGCTGTGCCACCTTTGAGTGGCTGGATGGCTAAACTTGGGGATTCACTTCTCTAGGCAGCCCTAGCTGGGTACGGTGCCCCAGGGTTCTGTTCTGAAAGCAGTCTTTCAAAGGAGTTTACCCTTTCATATTCTTGAGCCTGTGTGATGAGTGAGGTCTGGCCATGTCTCAAGATTCCCTCAAGGCATTCTTCCTGTTGTTCGGATTCAAAGTACTTGACCCCTTTTGAATGCTGATGTTTTCAGAAACCGGGTTCTCCTAAGCCCCTACTTTATAGGCAATTTCCTTTCAGGTTCAAATTCAAGTTTTTCAAGTTTTTCTGCTTTACCCTTTGTCTCCAATTTTCACTATAAATCTGGCTAAAAGCAGCCAGAAGTACTCATTTCACATCTTGAATGTTGGGCTTCTTTAAAATTTCCTTCTTCAGATTGATTAGTTTACCACCTTTAATCTCAGTCTCCTGTAAAGTCTCAGGGCACGAGCAAAATGCAGACCAATTTTCTTCCAGGGTGTAACTCACACGCTGTGTAGTCCAACAGCTACTGGAGTCCTTGTTCCCAACTGGAGCCTCCTGAGCTTGGCCTTTACTGTCCATCTTCCTATCAGCTGTGGTCTTCTGACCTTTGACCAAAATCACCAGTATTCCAGGGCTCCTCTAGCCAAACTTCTTTCCAAAGAAGCTTTCCAAACTTCTTTCAAGCCGGTTCCAAGTTTTTCTAAATCACATGGTTAGGTATAGTCAGAGAGATGACCCCCACTCCTGGTATCAATTCTCTGTATTGGACAGCTTTCCCATCGCTGAGACAAAATGCCCGACACCGGCATGATAAAAGAGGAAGGTTTATTTGACTCATGGTTTCCAGTGGGTTTAGCCCATGGTTGGCAGGCTCCAAGGCAGAAACAGCTAGGTGGGAGGACACACCACGCTCCCTGCATGGGTCCCTGTGGGGCGTAGAGAGAGAGGCAGGCCTGGGAGAAGAATATACTCTTCCAGGTCGTGACCCAGTGACCCGCCCCCTCCAGCCAGGACCCTCCTCTGACCATGGCTGTTGAGGAGGACTTCAGATTTAAACCACAGCAATCTCTCTGGTGTACTGCAGGATAAGGGTTTGTTCTGACCTAGTCTTGGTTCTCATGGAGGGCATGGGGTGACCTCTCTTCTGGCTCCAGGATAGAGCGTGTTATCCAACGCAGAGATGTCACATTCTCTGGTGACAGTGACGGGTGAAGGATGGGCAAGACATCACAGCAAGATCAATCAGAATGCAGCAGTAGCCTCTTTCTGGGGCTGTCAGGGAGGAGGCAAACTCCACAGTGGACACTGAGCTGAAGAAGGGGGGCCTGGGGCAGGTGGCAGCTGCCCGAGAGTGAAGAAGAATCGAAGGAAGGCAGAGAAAAGGGCTGTAAAGAGACAGTGTCCTCAATATGCATCGTGAGTGCTGAATCCAGTCAACTGTGCCCATTGAAAATGCCAGTTACAGGATCTGAGAAAGAACTTTTTTGTTCAGGCCATTTGGAGTCCGTGATCTGAACCCGCACATTCCTGACTAATACAGTTACTTGGTCAGGTGTCAGCTACAGGGGATCATTTAACTACTGATTTCATTGAAGTTCAACACTGTCGATTATAATCCAGTTCTTCTCAAGGGAAGGCAGGTCCTTACCCAAATGGCACTGACCTTACAATTAAAACCGGGGGGAAAATGTGCCTTTCCTGCTCTGTCCCATGGAACATTCCCGCTGAGAGTCACTACTTCTGTTCCTTCTTCTTAGTGGTCCCTGACTCACCCTTGTCTAGCTCCATGTCACCTTTTTGGGCTTCATCTCCTACATCCACTGGGTCCTAGTGCAAGGGATCAACTGGCTTCAGGTGGCCCCAGGTTGGCGGGCCAGGGCCAGGTGCTCCCCAAGGCACACTGCTCTCCTAGGAGCCCCATCCCTTGCGTCTCTGGCTCTAGAAATTCCCAGCCTGTGGTGTGAAATTAGTCTTTGCTGCTCTCCCTTTGCTGATCAGCATCATAATTTCATTTTCAGACCAGAGGTTAATCATTGTCATAAAGAGTTTATTTAACATCTTGAATATTAAAAATCTGATTCCACAACTGGGTGTAGTGGCGCACGCCTGTAATCCCAGCACTTGGGAGGCTGAGGCAGGAGGATCGCTGTGAGTTCAAGGCCAGCCTGGACTACACAGTGAGTTCCAGGTCAGTCTCAGCTACATAGTGAGACCCTGACTCAGAAAAACAAACAAACAAAAAAATCTGATTCCACAAAATAAGATTTGTATTCTCAGGGTCCTGTTGTTTATCATATCCATTATTTAACTTGTTCTTTTTTTAATCTTTTTGGAGAAATATTGCTTCAAAGGACAAGAGACATTCCTGGACCCCTGTGGAGACCATACCTAGAAGGCTTTCCATCCGGGCTCCCAATATTGGAGGCACGGACCTGTCACCTCTCCAATAACCAAACTTGGGTGACAGTTCTAGAGTCACCCAGAGTCAGAACAGGAAGAGGTCTCAGAGTTTACTTTCCATTCTGCATGTTTCCAACTGGGAAGTGAGGCTTGGAAAGTCAAGGATCAGAGTGAGTTCTTTGTTAAAGGAAGCCACACCACTAACAACTCAGAGAGAGAGAGAGAGAGAGAGAGAGAGAGAGAGAGAGAGCATGAGTGTTTTTGAGGCTGTTGGGTAGCTCACAGAAATCCCAGGAGGGTGGGAGAAGAGGTCCTTGACTATTAACCGGAAACAAGAGTCTCAAGGGCTGCCCGAGAACATCACCATTTCTGTCTGTCACAGGTCCAATGGTGTCCATTGAAATCTATGTTCATGTCCCAACCCTGGGGGCTTGTGAATGTGATCTTCTTTGGAAAAAGTGTCTTTACAAAAGTCCTTATAAGTGCTAGAAAAGGACTTGACCAGAGAAAGCCACATAAAGACCAAGGCAGAGATTAGACTCTTGTGCCATAAACCAAAGAATGCCTGCCTGAAGCCATCAGAAGCTGGCAGAACCCAGGGAAGATTCTCCCCACTAAGAGCCATACCATTCTGCCTGGGCTCTCCCCACACAGCGTGGTGTCTGATTGGCCGGGCCTTGGTCACATGCTGCATCTTAGCTGCAAGGGATGCTGGGAGAAGGCACCTTGTTCTTGAGTGGAAAGGACTGGTATGTAGGATGCTGCAGGATGCTGGGGAGCCCCAGTGAGACAGATCTCCTCTACAAAGCCAGTTGCCCACAGACACAGTATTAGCCTGCTTGGACTTACGTGGCAAAATACCACCAACTGGGCAGCTTAAACAGTATTCATTTTCCCACAGCTGTAGAGACTGAGTTCTGGCAGGGTCGGCTTCTGGTGAGGCTTGTAGTTGGCTTTCTTCTTGCTGTGTCCTCCTGTGGCCTCTCTCTGTGTGTGTTCAGAGGGAGAGAGAGAGACAGACAGAGACAGGGAGAGAGACTGTGTGTGTCCTGGTCCTCCTCCTCTAAGGAGAACACCGGCCTCCTGGGCTAGGACCCCACCTTCAACCTCACTACCTCACCACCTTAAAGACCCAATCTCCAAATAGTCACATTGACGGTGAGGTCAGTGTATGAATTTAGGGTACACAGTTTATTGGCACAGCTATCGAGCATGGGCCTCCTGACTCCTGCCCAGCTCGCAGCTCAACCCCCATCAGACCTGGGCATGCCAAGGAGACCAAAGACCAAGAATGGTAGAAAGCCGCTTGCCTGGGCTGACCGTTGGCATCCTTCATTGTTGTTTACTGCCTGGTACGTAGGGGCCATCAAAGGGGGAGAAATCAGCCCGATGCCCTTGGACACTGGCAACATGGCCACAGGGTCTCCTGGTCTACAAGGTCTGCCTCTCCACCTGCTCTGTGCTCTGAGTGGCCGAGGGCTTTAGCTGCAAACAACAGAAAATATGAGTAGGGAAAAAAGGGCTTTATTGGTGATGGGCAGCCCAGAGAAATGACAGCAGGGCTGGGTTTCAGCTCAAACAACCACAGGAAGCAGGCCTGCAGAGTCCCAGACATGACCAGTCCTGCAAGACCACTGCTTCTGGGTGCTGTGTTTGGTCGCTGCCATCACTCAAATGGGCCTCTGCTTCTGAGCAGTCTGGCTTCTGCTTTAGTGTCTGCAGTGGGCACCTCTGACTGGTCTGACTTAGATTTGTGCAGGTCTCCTGTAGGGATCATCATTCCTGTTTTGTTTTTTCCCTTCTGGTACCAGGGATTGAACTCAGGACCTTGCGCTTGTGAGGCAGATGCAGTGCCACTGAGCTAAATCCCTCACCCTGTTACTCCCTTTTTACACTCAAGGAAATGGAGACTTTAAGATGTTAGGTGACAGGGCTGGGGATTTAGCTCGGTGGTTTTGCCGCCTGCCTTGCAAGTGCAGGGACCTGAGTTTGATCTCTCTGGTATTCAATATTTAAAAAAAAAAGTTAGGTGACAGACTCAGCAATGGCAAATTTGGGTCTGCCTGTGTCCAAAGTCCACTGTCCCTAAACCCACAGCTGAGCCTCAGCCACTGCTGGTGAGGGCCTTGTTATGGCTGAGAGTGGATGTCCCCAAAGCTTTCAGAGGGTGACTGGATGACATGAGGCAGGGTGCAGGGTCTGGACTGAAGAGGGGTCCCTGTGGGTGTGGCCTGGAAGGTTCTGTCTCCCTCCCCGGCTCCTCCCTTGATCTCTCTCTGCTTCCTGTGCCCCATGCAGTGAGCAGCTCTCCTCCGCCAGGCCCCTGAGCCAGCTGACTCTGGACTGAAACCTGTACAAAGTGTGAGCCAAGGTAAGTGTCTGGGTGTCAGGTATTTTGTCCCAGGCATGGAGAAAGTGACTAAGACACCTTCCAAAGGGCTTGTTCTGCTTGCTTCTCCCAGCAGGGCACGGGCATGTCTCTTCCCATTGCATCCTCCTTGGCATCAAAGGCAACGTATTATTTAGCAATAGTCTTTGCTACGTGGATAGACTTAAAGTGATGTTCGAGCAACAGTGCAGTGGTGCAGGCCTGTAACCCCAGCACTTGGGAGGCTGAGCCAGGAAGATCTCTGTGAGTTTGAGACCAGCTTAGGCTGTATAGTGGGTTCAAGTCCAGCATGAACCACATAGTGAGACACTGTCTCAAGGAAAAAAAAAAAAAAAAGAGAGAGACAGAAGAAGAGAAAGAGGTGTCTTACTGTTTGGTCTGCCTCTCTGACCCCTGAAATTGAATGTGACCCCGGATTTTATTATCCTGTCGCCTCTCCTTTGAGAACAGTCCTGTTTTCCTCTTTTGCCCACTTGCTAACAAGGTTTACTTGTTCCCAAGCTCTTTTTATGTACAGCGAAGAAGTTAAGCCCCTGGCCCTCCTCTCCTTTCCCATTGAGCATTTTCCTCCACCTTTGTCTTTACAGTTTCTCTTCGCTCACTTTCCTTTGACATCCAGGGCTTCACATTTCAGGGTCCACACCTCACGTGTACCCCAGCCCCCCGCGTTGCTTAGGGGCGGATCTCCGCTGCCCAGTGCTTGGGTGACTCCCTCTTTCCGCACTTCCTGCCTGTCTGCTGCTGGGGGTCAGGCGCACAGAGGGCCCTTTCATCTAGAACCAGGGTCCTAAAGGACTGCCGGGCCTGGCTGCTCACGGCCGGGAATGAAAGACAAAGGTGGAGATTGTGTGCCCCTCACTGACGGCGCTGGCGTGCAGGAAGGAAGGGCTCTCTGAAAGTCAGCGATCTGCGGCCCCTGCTTGCTGCCCCCACTCGGAGCTTCTCTGCCCTGCCCCCGCCCCCGCCCCCGCCCCCCGTGAGGGGTTGATCCTGCTCAGGAGCCTGGAGGGGGCGCTGTGGGTGTGCGTTTGTGAGGATGCAGCCGATGAGATCCAGAACAAGGGCCTTGCTTCAGATGCTGCCCGGGGAACACTCAGGCTGTGTGAATGGGAAGGAGTTCCTTGGTCTTTTTTTAATTTTCATTTATTGGAGTCAGAGTCTCACCATGCAGTCCAGGCTGGTCTTGAACTACTTCATAGCCCAGGGTGGCCTTGAACTTGCAGTGACCCTCCTGTCTCAGCCTCCCCAATGCTGGGCTTTCAGGCCTGCACCCCCACACCTGACTTGAATCTCTTGATCTTTACGAGGCTGTTTGTCAGCTGTGGGTAAGGGTAACGTGTGTCCCGTACCATCGATGTGAGGATCGGTAGCTGTGTATAAGGTGTTCAGTGATACCCACCACCCAGGAGTAAGTACACAGTACAACTCAGCCATAAAAAGAAATGCAATATTAACATCTCACCGAAATGAAGGGGCTTCAAAATAATTTCACTGCCTCTGAGGGGCCAGACCTGGCAGGCTTCGGACAGTAAGATCCTACTGAGCAAAGTTCCAGAAAAGGCAAAGAGACCCAGGTGAAGTTGGTCGTGGTTGCTGGGCTGGGTCAGGGTTGGGGGCAGGAGGGAGCGCTCCGGTGCCGCAAGTGCCTGTGCCTTGGTAGTGGTGATGGAGGTTGTGTATGTCTGTGTCCACTTGTGAAAGCTCGGCCCACTTTGTACCTGGGGTAAATAGAAAAAGCAACAGAAAAAGAAAACGCAGTCTTGTCATCTCTTTCGAGACTTCCTGTTTCCCCAAGAAAGCCTTCCTTGAACGTTCCCCCACCCAGGCTGGTAGGATAAGGCCTGGCGGGCAGAGGGAGGGAGAAGAGGAAACAGGAGAACGATGCAGATGAAGGGCAGTGAATCACCCTGCCAAGGGCTGGCCAGGCCTGTGATCCCAGCATTCGGGAGGCTGAGGCAGGAGAATGGCCCAGAGTTTGGGGCCAGCCTGGGCTCCATAGTGAGATCCTGTCTCTCCCACCCTCCCAGCCATCCAGCCATGAATGTCAGGTGTGCTCCAGAGAAATGAAGTCATCCCATTGGTAGCAAGGGGTGAGAGGTCCTGGGGAGAGGGGCTAGAGAGGGTGCAGGGTGGAATTGCGGGGCTGGTGGGGTGGGAAGGAGCACATGGCGGGGTCCTGGAGGTATGGGAGGTGTGCGGGAGCACAGTGGATAGGACAGGTCAGGAGGCGCAGATACCGCTATTCCCTGCCTCAGTTTCCCCCTCTGTAAGAGGAAGGCAGCAGTGGCCCCATCGGGGAACCTGAGGGATGTGACCTGGAAGGAGGGGGGCGGGACGGGGCACAAGTGTAGCAGCTGGCCAGGCGCCACCAGGTAAATATCCAGTAGCTGCATGACCAACACGTGAGGATGGAAATGTGCACAGGGCCGGGAATGTAGCTCAGCGGTTCGGTGGCCTGTCTGGCAAGTGCAAGGACCCGAGTTCGATCCCCAGTACCAAAAAACAAAAAAACAAAAAAACAAAAAAAACCAAGAAATGTGCACAGGATTTAAAAATTAAATGAAAAAAAGAAACTGAGCAAGCAACAGTGGATCAGTCTCATCCCCTCCCTCCCTCCGTTCCCTGCCTGTAATCCCAGCACTCTGGGAGGCTGAGGCAGGAGGACCCCAAGTCTGAGTCTAGCTTGGGTAATGAAATTTAATGAGAACCTATCTATCTCAAAAAGGGGGTGGTGATGCTGGAGAAAATGCAATCTCATCATCTCTTTTGAGACCCACTTCTGGCTCAGACCTTCTGTGTGGAATCACGCGGGATCGTGGCAAGTCTTACGTTGGCCCTGGTGCCAGGCCGTAGGTGGCCCTCTTGTCCCCCACGAGTCACACTGGTCACCCCAGCTAGCACACTGGGCAGCTCTGTGGCACTAGGGCCATTGTCCTAGACCCAGCCACGCCCGCACCTGCAGAACAGCGTCCCCATGCCAGGTGGAAGTGGGGAGGAGCCTGCCCCGTCACAAGCCCCCAAGTCCCCCTTGTCTCCCTGGAAAGAGCTCTTCTGGAGCTGCATCTGTTTCCGTAGCTCAGTGTGAAGGCTCGGGATTCAGTCCTCAATACTGGGGGCACGGGGCAGACAGCCCCTCTGCTGATCCACAGAGACACATATTTGGTGGACACATAAATCCTGGTGCTTGAAGCTGTGACATCAGGGCCTGTTTGTTACTGCAGCATAGCTTTGCCCATCCTCACTGTACACTGAGAAAATAACAAGCCTGGTTTTAGAGGCTGTCTTCTCCCTACTCTTGTCAACATTCAGAAAGATAAAATCTCTCTTTCCTGCTCAGTCTCACCCATAAGCATCTCTGTATCTTCTCAGTATTTATCAGGTGGCACCAGGAAAGGGGCCACACAGTTTTCTTAGGCTGGAAACCGAGAGTGATGGCTTTCCTAGTGTGGGTCTGTGTGCAGCTCGGCAGCAAAGGGACGAGAGGCAAACCTTGTCCTGCACACCTGGTGTGCAGACTCTCACCAGTGGCTGCTACCACGTGCCAGTCACAGGCCCGGCCTCTGAGAGCCAGGACAGCATGGCCAAGAGGGGCCTGGAACCCTTGTCACACACAGAGGAGGAAAGAGGCAACTTCCGGTGAGAAACCGGACAAGACTTCTTGGAAGAGGTGTTCCCCCGCCCGGCCTCCCGCATGGGGCTGTGTCGTGAGCAGGGAGCAAGGATAGTAATAATAGGCAGATGCCGGTAGCCTTTTTAGATGCTTTAATCACACAGCACCCTTCTCCTAACTACCACTCCCTGTACCTGCACACATCCGAGGAGCGCGACTTTCTTCTCCTGAAAGGTGATTCGTGGTCAGCGTCGGCTGCAGCCAGCGTCCACGTCTCCGGGGGTGCACTCCGGGCTGGTGCCCTCTGATGTCCTGGAGCAGAGTCTTGGCTGTGACCTAGGGCAAGATCACATATGTGGCCAGCGGCCACGAAGTCTCTGGGTTACTGAGTGCGACGAGCTGGTCTGTGCTCTCTCCTTTATACTAAATTCTAGGGCTGTGTGGCACTGATTCAGGCTTAACTGTCTATTACACATCAGGCAGGGTTTACAGATGGTCAAGGGTATTACGTCACTTCACACAGGAGGGTCTTACAAGTGCTTATCATATCAGGGAGCAACTAACTCCTACACACACTTATACCCACTCTGCACAGGCCCTGCGTGGGCTGTCCCCACTTATCAGTCCTGTTCCGTCATGGCCTCTGTCACCGCCTCAGGCTCAGTGACAGCTTCAGTGACAGCCTCAGTGCTTGCTGTCATTGGAAAAGGATGTAAATAATATAATGAATTTTGCAATAACTGTTTGCTCTCCACAGGCTGATTCTGCTTTGCACTGTGGGACCCCAGTGGAGGCCACACATGGCCAGTATCCGCCTGACCCAACTTGACCCTCCCCAACCCATGAGGAATGCAACTTCTGCCTTTTCCCTGGTCCTGTGACCTCCCAAGCCACCCTGTGCGTGTCCAGACTGTCACCCTTGGCAGTGTGAGTGCCCTGGGAGGCCTGGGCACAAGCCCTTCCCTCCCCGCTCCCCTGGAGCTCGGATTTACTTATTCACCAGCTCTGCAAGGAGGAGGGCCGGGTCGGGTGCAGCTCTGTCCCCAGTCTCCCTCGGGAACATCGCTGGAGAGGGACTTTTACCAAACCCGGTTCAGCTTGGCTGCCTTTGGCCAAGTGACTCATTTGCAAGTAGGTTTGCAGTAACACCCTACAGACTGGCTCCGGAGACACCCAGCTGGATGGACTGTCCTGTCCAAGGCGAGGGTGCTGACTTCGTTACTTTCCCTGCCCTGCAGCAGGAGGAGGACATTGGGAAAGACCTGAGGCGGTCTAGGGACTCGGCCGTGAGCTGTGCCAGCCCGGGGAGCAGGGAGGGTGAGGCCCAGGGCACAGGACGCAGACGCCCACCTGGAGAGAGGCATGGGCCACACACTGTCGCTGGGGGACTTGAGGACAGGTACAGCCTTGAGGAAGACACAGCGTCTTCACAGCACCCCTCCCATAGTTTTTTTTCCATACTTTGTTGGCGTCCCCTTCATGGCTTGTCCAACAACCTCGACGACCAGAATCCACATTGAAACTGCCCAACACAGGGAAGCGGGGCCACCCGGCCCCACCTGTACCCGGTCTCCGCGGTGTCCCAGGACCTCGCTGGACCTGGGCGATGGCGCTCCTGTCACCTCCACCCCGCAGGGCGCTGCCCCAGGGGAACCCGAGTTTTGCACCCCACTGGCCCTCTGCCCTGGAGGCGGGTGAGGGCGGCGTCCAGCCCCGCCCTGCCTGGGGCCCCG